CATATTTTTTTCACTATTTTGCTAGACTATTACGATTACAAATGATGAAATACTGCTGAAAACATAAAGCAAAAACAAATACAAAAATGCCTTAAGACTGTCAAAGGCTTGAAGATTCAGAAAATTTAGATTAAAAGAATCAATTTGAAAAAAGAAACTCCTCAAAATCTTTTCGGATGAAGAAGAAATCCTTGATTGAAATCGAATGTGCTGAAAAGGCTTCCTTTTTGTGCTGTCTTCGAAAATTTGCCCAGTTTAATAGCAAACAAATTCCAAAAAATCTGAAATTTTATATAAGTATTCTACACATAAAAATATCCAAAATAAAAAAAAAACATAATTACTCAATTTGGCTACCAGACGACCAAGATATCGTTCCACAAAGTTGACAGAAAAACTGATCGAATTCCAGTAGTTTGCTAAACCCACCAAAACTCGTTTTTCTTTAATAAACCGATGCCAAAGCTCTGATACCAGATGATGTAAGTCTAAATACACCCACACGAATATATGTTGATGGATTCAAACTTTTTAAAACGGGTTACTCTCAAATTACACTAGAAAACTCACAAAATGGGATAGATTACCAAAACTCAAGAACACACTTAAAGTTCACCCTAATCTTATAACTTAAGAACAAACTCAAAGCTATAAGGAAACACTTTAACTCAAGACAAGGGATCTTAGGCAATAAATCAAGACACACTCAAAGTTCACCCTAATCTTATAACTTAAGAACAAACTCAAAGCTATAAGGAAACACTTTAACTCAAGACAAACTCAAAGCAAAATGCTAAAACACTCGGTTTTTATCAATGATCAAAAGTTGTCATTCTCTTCTTATTAGCTCCCTATTTATAGGAAATATAAAGGTTACAGCTTAACATCTTCCTAAAACCGTCACATTAATTCAACGGTTACGAAAAGTAATTAGAACTCTCTTAATTCACTCCTTTGTAACACCTATTTAAATGGGTAGTTACAAATCAGAAATTAAGAGTAACAATTACCCCTAAGCACACATAAACTTATGGCTAAATAAGAGAGGATGTTAGTAACTCCTCTAAGCCTTATTACAACTTAAATAAAATATAAATCAAACTTAAATATATAGCCCAAAGTAGTAAATGGGCCATGCACACATAGATAACACTCCTTTGTGGGCTTCAAGTGATCTCCCAAGTGAGCAAAGTGACAAATTCAGGCTTGAGAGAAAATGGACCAAATCCAAGAGTTTCTAAAACAAGTTCAACCGGTTCTTGATCCATGGAGCTTCTAAGTGGGTTGTTTGATCTAGGATCATTCTCCCAGTCCTTAGCAGCCGCTAACAACGAGATCATAACAGAAAACCATTGGAGAAAAGGAAGATGAAGAAGAACCTGGCTATTAAAATGAAACGAGCTGCAAACCCACAAATGAGCAACGAAATCTCAGCCTCGAAACAAATGGTCGATTGTCTCCTGCTCCTTCAGGCAAAAACAGCAAACCGAATCCACAGGAATCCCTCGAATAGCTAAAACCGAGGCAACCGGAATACCAGCTTGAATGATTTTCCAGCCAAAGATTTTCCATTTAGGAAGAAGGGGAAGCGCCCAAAATCTCTACACAAGAGAGCAGGCATGGACCCAAAATGAGGACACCTGATAGTCTGCTGAACTAAGAGAGCATAGGCAGACTTTGTGGTGAATGAGCCATCCTTAGTGAAATTCCAGTACACAAAATCATCCATAAGATCTTGTGGACGATCCAAACTAAGGACCCTAACGGCAGTTGGGCCATTAAAAAGCCGATGGACTCTCGAGGAGTCCCACGCGTTAGAATGCGGATCAATTATATCAGACACGTGAGTCGGAAGATCCGACTAAGATAAACCATCCTTAAATGACACTGAACCCCCAGGAGTCTAGTCGTCGGTTGTAATGCGAACCCTATTACCTCTACCCACTTTCCAGCGTACACCGGAAAAAACAACCGAAAGAGCCATCTGTAACCCACGACACCCCTAGAAAGGTCGAGAAATACAAGATTCCGGGGTGACAGGCAGAGAAGGGTACTTCGAAAACATGAGCCTGGAAACCAAAAGTTGAGGATTTTAAATCATCCTCCACCATGTAACAGCAAGGAGGGCTGAATTAAAACAGGCAATGTTGCGCAAACCCAAACCCCCCAAACCTTTAGGTAAGTGAAAAAGAGAAGCCGAGTGCAAAGCCAAACCCTTTCGAGAACCAGACGATCTCCACTAGAAGCTGGCAAGCATTTTATCAAGTTGAGAAACTACAGAAGACGGTAACTTGAAAACCGACAATATATGATCAAACAATGCAACTAACACCGAATTTATGATAACCAGCTTCGCTGCAGCCGAAAAACGAAGAGAAGCAAAAGCAAACAACTGTAGAGTTGTCAATTCGGGTAAATAGGTCGGATTTGGGTCGGGTAAGAGTGGGTCGGGTCAACTCAGGTCAAGTCAATTTGGGTTAATGTCGTCACCTATGCGGGTCAGGTTGGGGTTGCATCATGCTTGAGTCGGGTCACGTCGGGTCATACATCTTATCGGGTTTATGTCGGGTTAATAACACGTCGGGTTATATTCGGGTCAGGTGAACATTAAGTAGGGTTTAATTCGAATTTTCACGGGTTAAAACTGGTTAGGATAATTCTCGGGTTTGAGTCGGGTTCGATTCAAGTCAATAATTTACGGGTTAGAATCAGGTCGGGTCATTCTTTGAATTGAGTTCAATTCAAGTCAATAATTTCCGGGTTTTAATCAGGTCGGGTCATTTCCAAGTCGGGTCATTCTCGAGTTCAAGTCGGGTTCGGTTCAAGTCAATAATTTACAGGTTATAATCAGGTTAGGTTATTTCCAAGTCGGATCATTCCCGGGTTCAAATCGGGTTATCTTCAAGCCAATAATTTGCGGGTTACAATTAGGTCGGGTCATTTTCAAGTCGGGTCATATTCGAGTTCAACTAACTATAGGTAGATATTATCATTTTTATCTAGCTAATTATTTCCTTTGACTATAATATATATGGTAACATACTAGGGAACTATAGCTTATAATTTAGGAAGATAATTATCTCCTTTGACCATAGAAAAAATATATATGGAGTACTATATTTAACTCTTAAATTTGGGGATGATGCTCCTTTCTTTTGCTGGCCTGGACCGACTTGGTTTCCCTAGACAAAATTCTTTGATCAACCATAATAAGGTAGTCTAAATTGAATTTAAGGTGATTTGAAATCGGGTCAAGAACAATTTTGGTTGAATTTAGGTCGGGTCAATAACAAGTTGTGTTGATTTCGGGTCGGGTTAGTAACAGATCGGGTTGAATTTTTTGGTCAGGTTTAGTAATAGGTCGGGTAAAATTCAGGTCTGGTTGAATTTTGGTCGGGTCAATAATAAGTCGGGTTGATTTCGGGTCGGGTTTGTAACAGGTCAGGTTGAATTTCGAGTCGGGTTAGTAACAGGTCGGTTAAGAACGGGTCAGGTTGAATTCAGGTCGGGTTAGTAACAAGTCGAGTTAAATTCGGGTTTTGACGGGTTAAAACGGGCTTAGGTCAATTATAGTTCAAGTCGAGTTCGGTTCAGGTCAATAATTTACGGGTTATATTCGAGTCGGTTCATGTTCGGCTTCAGGTCTCATATACTTGGGTCAACTCGAGTCTAGGGTTGGTTTCAGGTCGGGTTTGGGTCACCATTTTTTTCGAGTTCAGATGGGTCGGTTAATAATCGGGTTCGGGTCAGTATTTCGGGTCGGGTTGGGTCAGCTTTTGACAGCTCCAGACAACCGGCTAACAACCTTGTCAATTAGAAACCTGAATTCCGATACCTTGCTCCTTCCAAGGTCAACAGGAAGACCCAGATAGGTACCCAAAGAAGCCTTCAATTGTAGCCAAAGACTACAAGCCAAAAAATCACGGTAGTCTTGAAGCGTATTCAGGCTGAACTTGACAAAGGACTTCTGTAGATTAATAATCTAACCCGAAGCAAAGCAAAAGGCCGAAAGAATGGCCATGACATTATCACATGCTGGAAAAATAACAGCAAATCATCTGCAAAGAAAAGATGAGAAATCGAAGGTTTGCCCCTAGAAACCCGAATACCAAAAAACAAAGCTTGTTCTTCCGCCCGCCTAAGAGAGGCTGACAACACCTCCATACACAACACAAATAGATACGACGATAGAGGATCACCTTGTCTAAGACCACATTGTGGTCGAAAAGAGGTCATAAGACTTCCATTCACAAGAACCTGGTACGAGACAATTATAACACACTGCTCAATAATATGAACCCAATAAGGCGGAAAACCAAAAGCCCGTAAAACCTGACTTAAAAAATCCGAGCGCACTGTATCATAAGCTTTATTTATATCCAACTTTAGAGCCGCATAAACACGTTTCCGAGCTTTAGAAGCATTCATAAAGGACAGAAGCTCGTGAGCTACCAGCACATTATCAGAGATTAGGCAACCCGACACAAAGGCATTCTAGAACCCTGAAATAAGAGTGGGTAGAATCTCTCGCAAACGGCCAGTAATGCACTTCGCGATGCATTTGTACAGGACATTACACAACCCAATCGGTCAAAATTGAAATACAAACTCCGGCTAAGAAACCTTCCGTAGGACTAAAAAGGTTCTATTCCAATCTTTCAGCATGTACCCATGAGCCAAAAAGTACTTCATTAGTTTGTAGTTTCCTTTTTAGCTTAGTAGTGGTTTGTTCCATTACTTTACATTTTTTGAAAAATCAATAACTAAAGATGCTTCCCAAATAAAAATCTAGAGGTTCATAGCATGTCAACTAGAGGTTCTTAATAACAACGATTCAATGTTTTCACAACTTCCTTCTTGCCACTCAGCGTTGTGTAATAGCACCATACTATCCTGCCATTCAGCGGTTGAAATAGCATCGTCCTCCTCTCCTTCATTTCTGGGAAATAAACTGTCCACTAGAAATACAGATTGTTATGTTCTAAGGCTGTATGCCCAAAGGTTAAAGTGCTCATGCAGCCAAGACCTTTTCAAAATTTATGTTACATAGTATTTTTTTTCTTGTTTTTTAAGACCAAGTGATTTCATTGCAATAATAGTGAACTTACTCTTATATTAAATATCATTGATTAAACAAATGACCCAAAAAAAAAAGGCAATCTGAAATGTAAGGAGAATTGATAAAATCTAAAGAAAACCAAAAATTTTTTAGATCAGCAATCCTGGAAAAATGCACTCTATCATTCAACTGCTGATCTTTCTAAATCATCAAACTATGACTTCTTATCAATGTTTTTGCTATACTTCTTAGCAACTCCGGCCTCAGAAGATGTATCCCATACCTGCCAAGGATTAAGCTCTAGGTTAGTAAGATCAATTCCACGGTATAAAAATATATAGTATATGCCAGAAAAGAAGTGTGTAATGAACTCACGTCTAATATTCCCTTAGAACCTCCGATAGCAAGCCAAAGAGGGTTTTCCTGTGAGAAGGAAACTGAAAAAACAGCTCCCTGAAGGATAAGAAAACATATAAAAAAATCTTTAGAAGCAGATCTGCATGTAAAAATAATAGTGACCACAAAAAAATCAATTACTACAGAAACCTAGCCTTGAACTCTACACTACAAGTCTATAATTTGATTAGCGAAATTTTAAGAACAATTTTCTTCGTTCATTTCTTCGTTGGTAAGAGAACCATATACTTACAGCTTTAGGATTCCGGGAAGAAATACAGGAAGGCTGGTTATTTGTCAAATCCCATAGTTTAACCATTTTATCAATTGAGCCACTAGCAAGGAGCTGCAGCAAGCAATACCAGAATGAGGAAAAGAAAATAGGCTAGCAAAGCAAGCGCACAAATCCGGTAGAAAGAGAATTTACATTTGGTATGGAGGGATTATATGAGATAGAGCTGGCAGCTTTGTCATGTGCATGAATGGTGAAACTAGGCTTCAATTCTGAATCTGAACTGGAACTAGCAGCTCGAATGTCAAAACCCTGAATCATTCCATTCTCAAGGCTTACCTGGAATTGCAAAAAATTTTAACAATTGAACAATTCATGCTTTCCACATCATGAAAGAAGGTATAGAAACAATCAGAGTCAATTAGCACTAACAACAAAAGAGTGTTCTGTATGAGGATCCCATGCCAGGCTCTCAACATCAGCTACAACAAACCATCTATATCCAGAGTGTGAAGGCTTCCTTCCATCCTTCTGCAATAATGAATAAATACTATGAGGGTTTTACAGCAAATGAAAAGGACAACAAAACCCAGAACATGCTCTTCCTTGATGGTACAGTCCACAACACGTGTCTCAATATAAAAGTAATCGATTAGAAAAGCAAATGCAGCCGAGCAGGAGTTATATCATGTCGATCTCATTGATATAAATTTCTTGCCTACTAATCTACGCTATCATCTTGATTTTGTAAATGCGGCCACACACAAGTGTGAATAAAAAGCCTTTTATTAGCATGCACGAGTAAGCTATATATATCTAGCAAAATAACACAGAAGATAAGGTTAAAAAGCACTCACTGCTCAAATTTTAATCAGTCAAAACATTTTAATAAATTTAATCACGATAACCAATCTAAAAAATTCAGATAGAAGCAGGAAGCACAAAAAATTACCCTGATGGTGAAAGAAATTAGAAAAGGCAAAAGTCCAAGGAACTATTGAAAGAAAGCACAACCCAATGCTTTAACAAGGATCGTTAATCAAATTTTACATTTTAAATATTACTAATGCAGTCTGCCTTCATAATTAAATCTATCAAAATAAGATCATTTCCAATGGTGAGACTCTAGTAGTATTTTTTAGGAGACTGAGAGAGAGTTGTTTTTGCAAAGAATACCAATAAGTTGGTATCTAAACTTAGCAACTTTAAAAGAAAGTTGCTAAGTTTAGATACTCAACTTGAGTCTCAATTGACAAAAAATGTGGGCCCTCTTAATTAATATTATAATAATTTTATATTTATTTAACTTGTTTTTAAATACAAGCCAACAATCCCTCGAATATAAAAGATGGAAACAAAAAAAAAAATTAACAATGCACAAACAACAATAATATTAACTATTGATGCAGTGCATAAAAAATATAGAAAGATAATGGATGATTACCAGAGTCACGTCGAAATAAAAAGAACAACAATTATTACATAAAGGGAAGTTGTTGATGCACATTAAAAAAAAAAAATAATAATAATAATAATAATAAGCATAAAATGATGGCAATGCCTATACCAAATTATTAATCAGATACTAATTATAGCTAAGTTTTGTTTATTACCATAACAATTGAATGATCGAAAGATCCACTTAAAAGAATTTGTGGTACATGATGACTGAATGCAACTGCTTGAACCTGCAAGAAAGGCAAATATGAAATAGCTATCAAAGTAGCAGCAACTGGCACAAGCAGTCCTAATAGAACAAAATATTGACATATACTCCTAACTTGCAACACTTTGACTTTTACTCTATTCACATACTCCACTTGACCGGTTTTAGTGATTTATAGTTAAGGAAAAGCATAGTCTTGTGGGATTGTTAGATTTGTCTAAGTTTATGCTTTTACAACATAAACTTTTATTATTTTAATTATTGGTAATTAAAGATATTTATGATTGAAATAATGCATTGGCAAACGTGAAATGGAAAGTGTTGCAAGTAAAAAGAAACAAAGGAAGTATTTGTTCTGAATATATAGGTACGGAAAAAAAAAGGAAATGAGGAGTCCTTCCTCAAGATAGTACCCTTGCTCCTCGTTATGTGTATTTACATACCATGGCAATTTGGTAAAATACTGTCTTCTATTAGTTTTAATCAATGATTTTAGTTTACGTGCAAAAAATCAAATCAGCTAGTAAAAAAATACGGAGTATTACTACATGGTCTATTAGTATACTGATATAAGTAAACCTTTTAGATACAAGTAAAATTTGTCGGAGATACAAGTAATATTTCTCTAAAGCATATTATTTTCCTAGCCTTTTTCCTTAAAACCTATTAGACCCCACCCCACCAACTACGATTTTTTTTTTTTTTTTTTATTTTATAAAATGTCAAAAAATGGTCTGGTATGTGCCAAATAACCCCCACGCAGGGAGCCCCGAAGATCATATTTCCTCATGAGAAAAAAGTCACACACTGAGAGACAAGAATCTTGGCATTATCTAACATGTACAATTGCCATGTAAATTGGGCAGCTGAATCTAACTGTCCATAATGTATCAGAATGCCAAACTACAGGATTTCTAACTTAAATAGCCATAGTGCAGGTTTGGATCATCTAACCATCCTCTTTACAATATTTCAGTAGAATCTACTAGAAGTTCAGTACAAATTCTTTAAGAAACAGCTATTTAGAGCTCAATCATGTGACCTTGTCATTTAACAACAACTTAAACACCCTATTCCAATGATTCAAGGTGATTAACAAAAATGACTTTCTAATTAGTAGAATTGTTGCAACCAACCTCAATGTCTTTGATGATTGAAATGTGGGTTTCATTTACAATTCAAAATTCAATATCTTTCTTTGAAAAAAAATTAAAAATAAAATAAAATAAAAAACATTCTGTGATAGACTAAATAAGCCACAATATCTTCTAGCCAATGGTAAAATAATGAATAAGATTTGATTCTTGCCTTGTCAGAGTGGTGCTCCATGGTAATACTACACTTTCCAGTAGCCACGTCCCATATCTTAACTTTTTTGTCTGCACTGGCACTAGCAAGTATATTCCTGATGAACAAAGCAGCAAGACACATATATTTAAAAATTCGACTGGATAAGGGTTTTAGTAAAACCAAAAAAAAGGCATAGAAAGGGAAGAAAGCTCAACCTGAACTCCTTGTTCCAAGCAAGGCCAAGCACTGCGTCGGTGTGGCTGTCTTCTTTGAACTTAGGTTTCTAGATGAAGTATATTCAGCAAAAGCAACAAAAATCAGCCAGAAATTGGGAACAAATAAGAGAGCTGAAAATCAAATATAGGCCTGATTAAACCCAAGGGACTCATAGTAAGCATATATAAAGGTTTCTGGACTAGACTATAAGATATAACTGTAGCCCAGTGACAAATTTGGCATAAGTTACAAATCACATAAAAGTATACAGCATAACATATACTAATATTCATTTCATCTTTTCTTTTGACATCCAAAGAGGACAAAATATAATGTTCTCGACTCAAGCACTAGGGAATCTAATTGCTAATTTTTTATTGGAAAAATTGATTTTAATAATCCCACCTTTAATTGGTTTGCTATTAATAATCCCACCTTTGAATTATAATTTAATAATCCCACATTTATAGGGCATCTACATCTACTGGTGTCTTATGACTAGTAACTTAAGTAATTTTTATTTTTATTTTTTTTTAATTTAAGGAACATGTGCCACTAAGTAATTGGTAAAAAATAAATAAATAACCAATTTTTTGTTAAAAAAAAAAAAAAAAAAAAAAAAAAAAAAAAAAAAAAACATCCCACTCCAACGGTCCCAAGACTCCCAACCCCACGACCACCCCAACACCTGCCCTCCGGCAGCCCCTCCTCCCCACCACACCGCCAGAACCCCATCCCACCTCCTTCCACAGAAAATCGACCCCCCTTCCGCTAAAGCCACCCTAATTCCCACCCCTCACCCATACAACCATCCCCTTTCTTTTTCCAGCGTCGAACAGCCCCGTATGAATGAGAATTCACTAAATATGGATGGGGTGTAGAATACACGCTACTTGGTTGACTCGCATACATCACAATAGTTGAAACCACCGGTAATGGAGCTCAAAACTAAAATGGAAATTTACAGTTTTCGAATCAAAGTTTAGTATAAATTTAATTTTTTTAGGGAAAGGTGGGGCGATTTTCGCTGGGTGGAGATGGAGATGGCCGTTCCGGAGGTTTGGGTGAATAGAAGAGTCTGGATCGAAGAGAAGGAATAGAAGAAAAAAAATATACCTGGGTTGCTTCACCAGTGCCGGCCGCCAATATATCTGCAGCCGGAAACCACCGGGGATTGATCTCCGGCTGTCTTCCGTAGCAAAACCGACCAATTTTTCAATTGCAAAGCAACCCGTAAATTAGGGTTTTTCAAAAATTAGGGCTTTTAAATTGGGGGTCAAATTGAGGTGATTTCATTCAATTAACAAGAAGCTTTTGCTCGAATTATCTCTCTAAAGACTGGGTAAGCTTTAATTTGGAAAAGAATGTGTTTTTTTTTTTACAAAAATTAATCCAAATCCCCTTTTTCTCATGCCTCTAAACGTAAGGCGGCTCAGGCGCTGCGCCTTACGCCGTGGTGGAGGCAGTCTGATGCGCAACGCCTAGGAAGGCCGAGGTGTTTTGATTATTAGATAATAATCCAAAGGTGGGATTATTAGATAATAATCCAAAGGTGGGATCATTAGATAATAATCTAAAGGTAGGAAGTAGGATCATTAGATAATAATCCAAAGGTAGGATATTAGATAATAATCCAAAGGTGGGATCATAAGATAATAATCCAAAGGTGGGATTATTAGCAGCGAACCGGCTAAAGGTGGGATTATTATAATCAATTTTTTCCTTTTTTATAAAGAAGTCTGCAAAGACACTAATTTTCATTAATTAAAGTCATTTCACATCAGCAATTGACAATCAACAACAAAGAAAACTAATTTAACAAAGCCAAACTATAATCAACCATGAAAGGGCAAAAAATCCAAATTCACATACATAACACTTGAGCACATTCTCAATTCGTTGTCTCTACAACTTTACGTGTTGATCCGTCAGTTTGTAATTTTAAGAGAAAATATTTCTTGTAATAACTTCGTAAATTGTATCATCAACATCAATCGTAGTCCTACATAACTTGAGACAATTCCAAAAGGAGAAAACACCAACACACACCTACACAAGTCATCTGAAAATCTGAGATCTTGAAACTACCATAAAAGGAGAGAAAACCCACAAAAGTAGGATAAAATCTTATCAACTAGAGGGAGAAACATAGGTAATTTATTTGAAGGAACTGAAAACTTAAAAGGAGAAAGAGAATGGGGCTCACCATCACCAACAATGGTGGATAGCAGTCCCTTGAAGAAAGCTGATATGGTTTGCTGAAGGGTTTGTGTATGTGTGGTGGTGGTGGGGTGGGGGGGGGAGGGGAGGTGTTTGGGAGAGAGAGATTTCGTATTTCTGACCGCTAATTATCCTTCATAACATATTATTTTGTCCTAATTCCTGTTATTCCGTACATATATATTTTGAAATTAACATCAACATACTGTTGCCCGTAAACACAGGTCATCATGTGCTCTGGCATTTTGAACCTCAAATTTAAGTCCTGGCATTTGAGCAATAGCATAGTTCAGCACAAGAATCTAAACCCACAGTAATACCCCATTTATAGTTGCTGATAAAAGCTAACCAGATAAGTACTAGGTTGATGATAAGTGCAATAAATGGGTAAAAAGCTTTAAAAAAAAACACTGTTCAAAGGCATAAAACACAATATTTAAACAAATAAATATCAGAAAGATGCTTCAATTGCATAAGCTACTACGTACGTTTCTTTTCAGTTGACACGAACTCCTATTTTGGGTTTTTTTTTCTAGTTGACATGTTTCCTTTACAATTCCATTTACACATTTCTTTACCCCAATTATGGGATTAAGGCTTTGATTGATTGATTTAGCCACTTGCTTTTACCTACTATGTCCTTTTCTTGCTTTACAAGTTTACATATACTATTAAATGATTGCTTTTGCCTTCTCTCTGTCTCTACAAATTGTGTACCAATTCAGATATATCAACTAAAAAGATATGGAGGAAGTATAATACTGCAGAATTGTGCATCAAGTTTTTTAAAATCACATTGAAAATCCAATTTTTGTGATCACATACAACAAACATAATGATCATACAGACAGCTCTTAATTATCAACCATAATTTCCGTCATTGAACTACAAAACATGGAAAATCATAAAAGTCAAAGCAAATTACAAACAAAACGAGGAAACTAAGTATGTTCAATAGTTTTACCTTCTTTCTTTTTTTCTTCTTCTCAAGACACTCATCAACACCACCTAATACAAGTGATGGTTCAACTTCATCAATCTGTCACAATAAGAAGAGAGTAAAGCTCAAAATTAGCTTATTATTATCATTATATTCCAAATATACATAATACCATTGAGTACTTACAATATCAAGATCCCATATTTCAATTGAAGGTTCCATTGAACCCACAGCAATAAAGTTTCCTGCCAAAAATGGAAGGAAAAATGAATTTTAAAATATGGGGTAGTAGTAAAATAAGCATCAGCAGGAACCTAAAGCAAAAGGAAAAGCAGCAGCAATCAGCAAACTAACCAAGTCAGTTTACCATGAAACTGCAATTCACATATTCACTTTTTTTTTCTAATATTACAGAACAGCCTAGTATAAACTTCCATCACGGAAAAATCTGGACCTTAAATGTAAACATGAATATACTAATTAAAATCACCAAAGCAAAAAGTATTACATTTTAATACAGAAAAGTTGGAAGACTCGGAACAATTCTGTTTTCAAAACTTAGAAATAAATCCTATGAAGCTAGGATCTAATTCTACAACTTCAAATAAACACTAACCAAAAAACAATATTCATAACTGTTACAAAAAAAAAAAAAAAAAAAAAAAAAAAAAAAAAAAAAAAAAACCCAACAATTATTAACAATATATTTAAAGTCCAAAACCTCAAAATCTTATGAAGTATTAGTATCAAACCTCTTTCTCCGCCTTTTAGTGGGCAGTCAAGCCACGCAGTGCATAAAGGAAATGCTGATATAATGATGTCATGGTGAACATACAAGTTTGGACCATCTTCTGTATCCTCTAAGATATAGACCTGAAAGTTATTATATTTATCAATAGTAAATCTTGAACCAATCAATACATGCATGCACAAATAAACCCTCCCTTGGCTAAAAGGAGATTAAGTTAACGATGAAAACCAAATGTTAAAAGCAGCAGAAGCCCATAACAGAGGGAGATAGCTCTAGGATACAAAATTAAATTTTCAATACTAAACAAGTAAAACATAACTTAAGGGGTCCTACTATGCATTCATAGATATTTATATATAAACTTGCCCAATAGCAGGGCCACCATGAGCAACTGAAATAGATACGTACACCACATGCACATCAAAGATTAAAAAAATGTACACCGTATGTTCACAGAATACCTCAAGTTGACTGATTTCTTCTTCATTACGTGCACAAACAATGATCGAATCTTCTGCTCTTATGATCATATCCTCTTCCTCTTCTGAATCATTATCCTAAAAAATAAACGATATAACAATTTCAGAAATAATTGAAAGACAAATGAATCCAGAGGCTAAATTTGAAGTATCCTACTTACATCCTTATCCTTTAGGTACGGGTCCAATTCACTGCTGGGATAATAAGCATCACCAAGCCCTTTGCTAAATACATCAATGCCTGAAAAATTAAAACATCAATGCCTATCTTCAGATGAAGCATTATCACACACAGTAAAAAAGGCTCAAGAAGCCTATCTTAAAAACTAACATTGAGGCTAAGATAACATTTGAAGTCACTTGCTAAAAAAATACACAACATGATACTGGCAATAAGTCGGATGTACCATCATCGTCTTCTTCATCATAATGTTCCATGTCAAGTTCCTTGAAGGCATCAGCTATATCACCAGAATCCTTGCCAAGTGCCTCTGCCGCAACAGATGCAAGTGCAACTTCATCAACCTCCTTGGTGCTCTCTGCATCCATGTTCTCGTCTTCTTCTTCATCATCATCATCATCATGCTCAACATCACTGTAACGTTAAAAAAGCATCAATAGACCACAGAAAGATTCAAATGAAAATGTTACACATACACCCCCGCCCGACAAAGTTTCCAACTATCAAAACTGGAATCATCTCTATACACTAAGTAAAAAACAGAAGGGGAAAAAAACACACAATCTCAGAATCATGTTGGTAAAAAAGACTACATGTGCACCAATAGCAGTGGCATGGAAATACACTACTAATCCCATCTCCCAAAATTTCTAATCTACTGATTAAACCACACTAAACAGTAAAAACATTAGCCTTTAAGTTGAAAAAATAGACAAAAAATTTCAATGTTGTGCCACAAATTTCAAATTCACATCTAACCTTACAACTACCACATAAACAAATTACATCCCCATTATTAATTCCTCTTAAGAAACTAGAAAAGCACATAACATACACAAAATCCATAAAAAAAGGGGAAACATATAACCCTTACAAAACCCAAAATCACAAATAACCCAAAACCACTATTTCAACACCTTACAAGACCCAAAATCACAAATAACCCTTTTGCTTTTTTTCACATTAAAATGGGTGAATAAGTTTTCACATTGATGACTTCCAAAAGTAAAGCAATTCCATTCATAAGCAACAAAAAAAATATGGAAAAGCCTAAAACATAATACAATTAAATAAAATAAAATAAATTACGCTGTATGAAGAACACCACTTTGGAGCAACTTATCAATTTCTTCTTTAGATGGAAGTTCAGCAACTTCTGGTAATGATTTTGCTACTCCCTTGGGCACCCATGAAATTGCCGCAATCATCGTTTATCACCTCAATTAAAATTATCAACAACTATATAATATAACAAGTGTTGCAGGTGGAAGCCACCAGTCTTCAGTCTTCAATGGAGACAAGCGTGGGCGGCGAATTGAATGAGGCAGCGGGCGAAGATGAAGTCGGCGGCGATGGAGGGGGCACAGGCGGAGTGGGCGGCGCGCTGGAGAAGTGAGGAACGAAATTTGGGACTTTTTTTTTTTTTTTTTTTTTTTTAGAATGAAATCACTACCCTCCTCATTGGCGTCATTGCATTTAGGTTTTTTTATTTTTCACTAAAATCACGAACTAAATAATCTATTATTAAGAGGCATATGTCAATTTTTTATTAAAATTTTTTCCATCTAAACTAATTAAATACAGTATTTCTTTTAAAATTAATTAAATACAATACTCCTTTATTTTCTATTTTTTTGCCTTCTATATTCCAAAACTAATTAAATATAGTACTTCTTTCAAAATTAGTTAATGAGCTTAAAATCACAAATTTTTCTATTATAAAATTGACAATTATTTAAACAAATAATAACTACTTAATCCGTGCAACGTACGAGATTAAACTAGCACAAAATATACGATCTAATAGTCTCAACTATTGTCGATTTGTTTCTAGAGGAAATACAAGGGTAAAATTGACACTTCAATGAATTAATTGGGATATGTTTGTAAATTTGCTAGGATGTCCGTTAGTTTAGCTTCTTCCTTCCCTTTTCCTCTTTGCTAGTACTTTCTCTCTCCTCACTCCTCTAACTCACATCAACAATGGAACATCAACTCCAAAATTTTCAACCTCATTTCTTCACGACAACAACCACCATCACAACCACTAACATTTGCTATCTTATCTCCTTTCGCCGCCGACAACACTTTTTTTTCTAAATTTTCACAAATCAAGCTCAATTGATGGAGCTTCAATGGAGGACATAGTCACCCCTACCCTTTGGGGTTGACCATGCCCTTAATTTCACCTTTCATTCATAGGGTTTTCGTTTGAAATCGGGGAAGGTGGATGGAGATTGGGGAAGCTTCAATGGTGGTCGAGGTCGGGGAAGCTTTAATTTAATGGTGGTTAAGGTTGGGAAGCTTCAATGGTGGTTGAGGTCGGGGAAGCTTTAATGGAGGAAGAAGTAGGAAGCTTTTCAATGGAGGAGTTTTAATGGTGGTGTTGGTGAAGTAACGACAAACGGTCGTTAAATCAGCGTTATCTTCACTCATGAGGTGGCATGAAAACTTCTCTTCAATATTACAATTATGCCATTAGATTGACGAATTTCGTCAATCATAAAGATTAACTGGGGCTGGCTCATGTTTCTAATAACAAAGGGTAGAAATTTTTTTTAAACGACACATGTCAGTTCATGATTGGTCTAATATTAAAAAAATTATTTTAAAAAAAAAATCGATTTAGCAGCCCTTCTCCATTATGAAATCCAAGCCAACCGAAAACTAACCAGCCACTGCCTTAATCCCCCACAAATGGCGAACCGACCCTCCCAACCCCCATAACACACAACCTCATCGAGCTCGTGACAATATCGAATAAACGGTGAAGTTGTTGGGTTTGAGGGGTTGAATGGTAGCGACTGGAGCTATTGCACAAATTAGTGCCTGCTGCTAATTTTTGTGCTGCAGTGGTGGTTGGTGCGGCGGCATGAAGTGTGCAGGCTAAGTGGTGGAGTTTGTGGGGATTGCTTTGTTTTGTGGGCTATGGTTTGGGGTGGGAATGGGCCGACTAGGGTGATTTTTGGGGTTACAAGGGGTCACCCGACCGTTTCAGAGATTAGGGAGAGGGTTGGTTGTTTTCCAACAAGTTGGGGGTTGGACTTAGCATTTTGCGGTGGCATAAGGGGAGGAAGTGGTTATTATTATTGTCTTTAGTTATGTAGACACCCAAATGTGTCTCCCCAAAACCAAACCCAGTGATGAGTACCTTTCATGTCATTTGATTATCGAACAAAGCGAAAGAGTGAAAAGTCTAGTGATGAGGATGTTTTATTAAAATATCTTTTCTTTCTGTTTTTGAAAATATTTCTTTTCTTACCTTATTTATGAAAAACGTGCATTCCAGTTTAGTTTAGTCCATGACAAGGGTCCGTTAATGGTGTTGTTGGATGGGTCTTGAAAAGACCTTTCCAACGATATATTATAAGCCCAATTCCGATGAATAATGAGGAAGTTATGGCCAAAATACTAAACTAGGCCAAACCGGTTTTTACCTACGACCCAATGATCATGTTGAGGGTCCAAAGGTCTAGTCCTATTCCTAAACTAATTAGGATTAATTAGAAGCTTCTATAAGTTTCTAAAAGATCTTAATTATCCTTTTTGAAAAGATAAAATCAAAGAATTTGAGTTTAAATAAAACTTTCCTTTTATAAAAACTTTCCTTATTTTTAATCCTTATTCTATTCGAATTTAAAGATGTTCAAAGACAGTTAGATATTATTTTCATTTTCATGCCTCATAATCTTTATCCAAATTTTATATGGTTGGATAGATCTTGAAATTATCTTTCCAATCATATATTATAATATTAAATCCGAGTTATAACGAAAAAGATATGAATGAGATATGAGACTTTATCCAAAACTGACACCCTTCCACTATTTCGGCCATATATTTTTATCTACAAAATATTTTAATCTGATTTAATTGGTTTGGAAAGTAGATTTCAAGAGCTTTCCAACATCATATTATATGCCTTATTTGGACTTCCGGATCAAAAGATATGATAAAAACAAAAAATGCGTGTAACTGATTATTAGAGCCTGACGACAAGCATTAGCGCCTGGCGCTATGACCAGCGTCTGGCGCTAATTGTGTTTTATTCTTGTTGAAACTCTGATTCGTTTTTTTTATCCATCCGACTGATTTTCTCTATAAATAGCCTCCTAAAATCTCCGTTTTCAATCATCAATTCTCAACAATAATCAATTTTCATCAAATATCATCAATTCTTATTCTCTCTAGCTTTCAAGAATTCTTCTCTCTCTCTAGCTTTCTCTACAAAATTCCGCATTCACAAGACCAAGAAACACCTAGCCAAGTTCGAAGTTGCCTTCGTCCTAGACGTGAAAGGTTTTAATTTCTGAGGGTTTGGTCCCTAATCTCTATTTCAATTATTTAATTTAATTGTTTTATATTTTCCTTGAAGTTACTAATGCGTGTATTTTGTTATTAGAAAGAGATACGAGGCATCCAAGTAAGTGCTTTAATTGTTTGCATTGTTATTATGATATAGAAATCATGTCTAGGTTGTTATTATGATTCCTAGTGTCATGTTAGGGCGTTTTGATTTTCCTAGTATCATGTTTAGGGTAACAACTATAATTTCTATTATCAAATATGACAATTATGATTTTTATGATGCTTCTTGTTTTCTTTCCTAATATTCATGTTAGTATCATGTTAGGATTAAAGCTTTGATTTTTATTGCTTAGTGACATGTTAGGATTTGTTATTAATCATGTTAGTATCATGTCTAGGATCTTGCTATTATTATTATGCTTTATTTTTAACATGAACATGATTATGATTATTATGATGATTATTATTATGTTGCTTTATATTTATTATTTATTGCTTGATCACGTCTTTTATTCATAAAGGAAATTGGTACTTGTAATCACGCTTAATAAGATAATTTATTAATCTTGTTTAGGGTTAATTTGATTATAATTCAAGTGATTACCAATAATATATTTATTTGTGCATTAATATTCAACCAACATAGATTAAACAGGTTTAGGGTAAACCTATTGATTGTATATTAGTCCGAAAGCGCACATGAATACGATCAGAATAAAGTAGAGGCCTATTATTAGGGCATGTTCAATCTCTTTTAGGTTGGATTTGTACCTTCATCCCCGAACTACCAGTCATGGTTCCAGACCTATTGGAGCTGACGATCTCCTAGATCGTTAAGGGGTGTAACCTTCACCTCGTGAACGGTTTACAAGTTCCTAAAACTTTTTGGTGACTCTTTTGCTCTATCTTCTTTCCCTTTGGACGCCACCGTACTTTAGTGTATTATCACAGTGGGGTTCTGTAGGCGTCGTTCGAAGTGCGCCTACGTTAAGCATGTGGTGAATATGCTTGGCACTCATAAGAAGTTGGAATTGACATATACGATTAGGGACAAGGAAAGTAGGGAGCCGCCAACAAGTTTTTTAGGAACTTTTAAACCGTTCACGGATCATAAAAAGGCAACCACGATAAGGGACAACGATAGGCAACAACAATTGACCCGTGAAGGTTACACCCCATTCATAATCCATGAGATTACTAACTCCATATGGTTCGGAACCACGAAAGGAGGATCCGGGATGATGGTACGAAGTGAGTCATGGAGTCACATTCGCCCGTATTGGCCTCTACTCGATTCTTATAGTGAAAGAAAAGTGATTCCTGCGATTTCAAAGGCATACAAACAAAGATTCAATTTGCTCCAAACTATTAGTATGCTAAATTGGTTTAATATTAATGCAACACATTATTCTAAAATATTAATGATAACTTCGATTAATAACAAGATTAAAAAGGAACCTAAACCGGTTGTCCAAATTATCTTATTAGGCGTGATTTTCAATTATATATTCCCTTTAAACATGCAATATGGTGATCAATAAAAATAATAATAGAATAAACATTAATATTGGAAGCAATGTAACAATAAATTGTTAGTCAAATCAAATATAAAATAACCTAATCATGATACTAGCAATATAAAAATAAAATAAGTAATTACTCACATTCCGCGCGTTCCTTTAAATTTCTACATCATGAATAAACTGTTAGTAACTTCAATAAAAATATAAAGCAAATGAAAATGAAATTAAATAAATGAAAAGTAGAGTTGATTTGGTCCAAACCCTCAGTTATTTGTACCTTTCACGCCTTGGTTTAAGGACGGAACCTCGGGTTAATACAGACTTCTTGGAGTGCTTAAGGGAATTATTATGGAAGAATAAGGAGGCTAGAAATTAGGCTAAATAGGGAGAAGAGAATTATCTTTAGTGTAAGGTGAGAGAGAATGATTATTGGTGCCCCGAACTGCAGAAAGGGGGGTCCTATTTATAGGGAAAATGAGCAGAGGGAACACACGGGACCCTAAAAAGATAAAAACCCTAAAAAAATAACACCGCGACACGGCAGAGAACACCGTGACACGGTGCCAGGCACCGTCAGACGGGGGAAGGCACCGTCAGATGGGGGAAAATCCCGTGACGCGGTGGAAACTGGTGATCTGTAACTCGGAATAAGGCATATATTATATCATTGGAAATCTTATCAAGTCTACTTTCCAACCCAATTAATATCAAGTCAAAATGATTTGTATATTTTA